TCAGGGGCCCTTGAAAAAAAACATTGATTTTGTTGCGTTGGGCGTTTTCAAGTATGGCGCATTGTGATGTTTTGTTACAATGTGATGTGTTGTTACAATACTACATCACACGGTTTACTTTTTAAAAACTTTATTTAAACGTCACTAAATGACACTTCCACCGCAGCACTGAGTTGACATTGCATTGCACAAAAACGCAGACAAGTACCATTATGGTGGGAACGGGGGACATAGAAAACAATTGCTTTCTATGTGTCCTTGCGTACATGAATGGAGAACTAGGAATGACTCCCAGAGGGATGATGGGATTTGTGAGCTGGGCCTGACAGCACCTGCGCACAGTAAGGTTCAGGCTACTTCACTCCAACCAGCTTTCAATTCAAATAAATAATAACGGCCATGTTGGATGAAGCCAACCGACCTGCAACAGCTGTGACCGGGCAAAAGCAGCACAGTGCACACTGACAGGGCACAAAACACACTGTTGCTCGGTGACAGGTTCGCTTTTTTAGCTGACAGGCCATTAATTGTATAGACGTCACTTCAACCGATACTTAATATTACGGGCCACCTCCTCGCTGCCTTTCCCCCGTCACACACTCACCTCACCGTCATCAGACCCGGCCGGGTGACTTTTCTCCTCAGCTCAGCTTCTCTGGCGGCTTTTCCCGCCCATTCGGCTTCGAAGGCTCCACGCGCTTGACGTCATCACGGCGGGGGGCGTGCGCGCCGGTGTTCCGGCCACGTGACCCGGCTGCCAGCGTTACGTGTGCGCGCCTCTGTGCGGCGAGTTCTGTAGAGATTAATTTCCAAACCCAAGCCTGAGTCTCAGCAGCTTGTAGTCTATCCGGTTCTTCTTCTTTCTTTTCTTTCTTCCATTAGCGCAGAATATTTGTTCACTTATTAGTTCTCTAGAGAGCCGTCATCGGGTAGGGTCAGGTGACCTGGCTGTCTGTGATTTGCGAGCGCGTCTGAGGGGGAGGAGTTATAAACACCGGCGCGGTGTTTATGGGAATTACTGTATAGGATCCGGGACCGGTAACATTCTGTGTATACTGTGTATACTGTGCACCCCGCCCCCCGGTCGGTGCTACGTTTGGCCCCATAGATCATTTATAAAGGGTCAGATACACTTCTTCTGCACGTACAACGTGATTCATAAAGACATCTTAAAGGTGTAGTGCACCTTTTACAGAAATTTAAAGGGACACTCCACCTCTATATAATTTATTTTGTGTGTGCAGTCCCATGCCCAGCAAATCCATTGTACTTCTGGGGTAAACTACTGCTGCTCATCCTCCATCTTCTAATCTTATGTCATGGGGAGCCGGCGGTCTTTTCCTGGTCCTTGCAGAACCTTAAATGTTGCCTCCTTGCGGCTCTTCAATTTCCTGCATACGGTTTCTAATAAATCTCTGTAATTTAAACAAAAAAAAACATTTCCCAAGTGGTTACATGGCGATGGAAAGTGCATCTGTCAGTGCGGATGGTGGGTGTCTATATTTCCAGAGGCGACAACGTCTGACCAGAAGGTGGCAACCTTGGCACTCCAGCTGTGGTGAAGCTACAAATCCCATCATGCCTTTGGGATTCGGGAGTCATGCCAATGGCTGTCAAGAGTCTTGCAGTGCCTTATGGGACTTGTAGTTCCACACACATCTAAGTGCTGAGGTTGCCCACCCCTATAGATGCCGGTGGGATGAAGACCCTCCATGGACAGGCACACTGGCCAGAGCTTTGCAGTCATATGACTGCTTTGAATAAATAAAAAAAAAAAGGTATTTCCATTGAAATGTATTAACAGTGTACAGGAAATAGAAGAGCAGCGGGGAGTCTACATTTTAAACTGAGTGTTATGGTCAGGGCTTGAAAAATTTTAGGGCGTCTCAGCAGTCAGTCAAAGATGTCACCAGTCAGCATGAACGGACTATAGCCTTGCATTTTACGCCCGATCACTGGAATGTAAAGCTCCCAGCCGGCCGTGTAATTACAACGGCTGGCCGGGAAGCTACTCGTCGGGCTCCTCCGTCCTCTCGTGGTTATTTCAAGCCTGGTTATTGCATATTCTTCTAATTTAAAAGGAGAACTATGAGGTGAGTGCTTGTCACTCACCTCATAGTTCAAGCCGACCTGTGACAATGAGACTGTCACAGGTCGGCTCAGTAGATCGGGAGGTGAGCGAACACATACCGGCGCTCACTCACTTCTCGATCCTGTCACGGCTCTCTGCCTTGACAGGGGAGGGGCTGGATTCCCCTCTCCGCCAGCGCTGACTGGCGGAACGGACGGGGGAGGGGGCGGGTACAGCTGGCTCTGCCTCTAGATAGGCAGAGCTAGCTGTCAGTCACGCAGCTGGGCGGATCCAGACATAATTGTCGGGATCCGCTTCAGCTGCGGCGTCTCAGTATACCGCGAGCAGCAGCTTGCGGTATACTGAGCCTAGGGTGACGGGAGGACCGTAGTTTGTGTCCTCCTGTTACCCCAAGGAGAACTATGGGGAAAAGCCTTAACCCCATAGTTCTCCTTTAATACATGCTCCCACATTGATCAAATAGAAAACCAAAAAAAACAAAAACGCATTGATTACATTTTTGCATTAAAGCCTGCACAGCATCGCGGCTGTTACCAGGGCGTCGCGGGTGCAATATGCAGGCTTCTACATTGTTTGCGTCCCAGCCCCATAAAAGAAGCGCCATACAGTCCTGGGGGATAGAGGACGCAATCAATGGACTCCAAGTACAGCGACTTCACCGCACTTATGCCGACGCATTGGAGTCCCTTTGTTGCAGATGGGAGTTGTAGGTCTTCCCCAGTAACAGATCCCTGAGAATAGATGATGCTGCTTTGCCCGCACTAAATTTAAAGAACTATGAGGTTAAGTCTTTTCCCCATAGTTCTCCTTAGGGTAACGGGAGGACACAAACTAGCGTCCTACCGTCACCCTAGGCTCAGTATATAGGGAGCTGTAGCTCGGGGTATACTGAGACGCCGCAGATAAAGCGGATCCCGACAATTGTGCCGGGATCCGCCCAGCTGCGTGACTGACAGCTGGCTCTGCCTATCTAGAGGCAGAGCCAGCTGTACCCGCCCCCCTCCCCCGTCCGTTCCGCCAGTCAGCGCTGGAGGATCGGAGCGGGGAATCCAGCCCCTCCCCTGTCATGGCAGAGAGCCGTGACAGGATCGAGAAGTGAGCGAACCCGGTATGTGTTCGCTCACCTCCCGATCTACTGAGCCGACCTGTGACAGTCTCATTGTCAACCCTAAGGCTAGAACTATGAGGTGAGTGAAAATCACTCACCTCATAGTTCTCCTTTAAACATCATTGCCGGGAGAAGAACCCCGCCATTCAGGTGTTTGTGTGTACCTGACATACAACTTGGTAAAATGACTGCAGAAATAGGAGTGTCGGGTCGGAGATATTTAATTCGAAATTATGTCAAACAGAACGGCATCGTCCACACTACAAAGAATCAAAGTATCTAAACAAAAACAGCCATTGAAAATAAAATCCAGCATTTTGGGGGGGGGGGGGGAAATCAAAGAAATAGTCTGAATTATTAAAACACACAATCATTTCCTCTTCTAGTTCCCAGAAGACCTCTGCGGTATAAGCCCTGCCTATAAGATGCTGGGCACCAAGTCCAAATTTTCTTCCCTGTAAGGCTTATTTCAACATATCTATCACCAAATATCTCTCCCCCCTATTGTATTTGTAGGCACACGTCACAATAAACTGCAGTCTCTCGGATCATAAAAAGAAGTGGTCACCATAGTAAACCCATTGTACCATACAGGACCCAAATAGTCCTTCATACGCTGGGCTTCCCTACTTATACCTGACATACCTTGTGTCTGAGTCTTCCATGCCGCTATGGACACCTTGGCCAAGGATACAGTGGCCCCCCTGACACACCTTGTGTCTTCCAGTCCTACACACCGCTATGGACACCATGGCCAAGGATAGTGGCCCCTGGAAGACACAAGGTGTGTCAGAATCCTACATGCTGCTATGGACACCATGGCCCCCCTTGTCTTCCAGTCTTACATGTAGCTATGGACAAGGATACAGTGGCCCCCCCTTGACACGCCTTGTCTTCCGGTCTTACATGCCGCTATGGACCCCATGGCCAAGGAAACGGTGCTCCCCGGCACACCTGGTGGCCTCCAATCTTGCATGCCGCTATGGACCCCATGGCCAAGGAAACTGTGCTCCCCGGCACACCTGGTGGCCTCCAGTCTTGCATGCCGCTATGGACCCCATGGCCAAGGAAACGGTGCTCCCCGGCACACCTGGTGGCCTCCAGTCTTACATGCCGCTATGGACCACATGGCCAAGGATACAGTGGCCCCCCCTGACACGCCTTGTGTCTTGCATGTCGCTATGGACACCATGGCCAAGGATACAGTGGCCCCTAACCACCCATCTCTAGTTGGTAAAAGGCACATTAATGTATTCGTTAACACGGAATTAATTACATATTAAAGCCCAATTGACTTCACACTCCTTTTTTATAACCCTGCCCCCCCCCCCCCATTCGGTTTTTCTCCAAGTCAGAATGCTACATCTTGCCCTGACACTGCCCTGTGCTAGCAGAGCTGAGTAAAAGCCACGCCCCCCCCACTTGTATTGCAGAGAAGGGGAGGGGGCATGTCTGACCAGGTCTGTTACATTACTAAGAGCAGCTGGTCTTCCTCTGGTGTCTAATGAACTGCACAGCCCATATTGAGGCCGCCCAGCACAGGTGTTGTCAGAGAGAATGGGTACAAATGTAGAGTATCTGACTGCAGGTCTATTTCTGCGACTTTGTATAGAGTAGAAGTATAAAGAACGCGTGTGTGGTCATATATCATCTCAGATTACTAAAGTGGGTGCAAATCCTACCTCGAAATCAGTCTATGTGATGAACATTCTAATACCATTCAGCGATTGGCCAAAACACCACTAAGGCCTTGTTCACACCAAATGCAGACCAGACCTGCATGAGTTTCTGCACACGCAGTGCAGTGGGTTGTGCCGCATTTTTGATGCGTTCCGGGCAGTTTTCGGTAAAAAATAATTTTTTTTTAGTTTAAAATGGGCTTTCAGTGCGTTTGCATGCATTTTTGATGCGTTCCAGAGCAGGTAAAATAGGGCCTGCTGCAGTTTTTTTTACCTGCTCTGGAACGAAACACTGCGATGTGAACTGGAGCTAAAAATACCATTGGAATACATTGGACGCAGTTTTGCTCCGGTCTGTAACTGCTCTGCTCCTGGAACGCGCTTGGTGTGAACAAGGCCTAAAAAGAAGGCAGGCAAGCAGTTCAGATACATACATGTAAGAAACGACATGTATGTTTCCAGAACCTAAACAGAAGGTGATGTGTGTAGTATGTCCCTTAAACAGGGGTAGAAAAAAGAAAAAGATTTTCCCCGAGACACTTAAATAATGAAAACAGTTTTTTTTTTTTATCCCCAACTTTAATTGACCACCGTAAAGTTTAAACCACAAATTCATCCATTTGGTAACACATTCATATTGGTAGAAAGCACTCCGCTCGGCATGGACAGCGAGCAACGCATCACCGAGGCCAATCAAGTTCCATTCTTCCTGTCAATAGAAACAGTATAAAAAAAATTCTGGTTCACAGGCAAGGGCTCTTTCAGTGCTGTTTGTGTTGAAGCTGAAGGCAACGTTATGTCCGTGATAATC